TCTTGTACTTCTCTAGAGCCATTTTCTTTCAGTATTCTTTCTTCAAGTTTTTTGAACTAGCTTGGAGTATGGCCCTTAATTTTTTTGCCTCTTACATACTTTAGCTGATCCCAAGTTAACAAGTGACTTCCTGCTCTATTTATGAGCTATTCTAATGTGAAAAGGTTCAACTTGTCTGAGTTTAAAAAGTTGCGAAGCTCTTTTGTATCTATTAAGCTTGAAATTTTCGTTCCTTTGATATTTATAGCATCAAAATCTTCCAAGATCTCATTGATTCTTATGTTTAGTTTAGCTGCTTTGTGCAATACTTTTATAGCCAGATTATTTGTAAGAACTGGCTTATCAAACTTACAGTCCTTGCTCAGGGGGCTGCATAAATATTTGCCTCGTAGTTGTCCCTCTTTAACTCTTAGTCTTGTTGTTACTCCTAAAGGACCTTGCTAGTTGAGATGTAAAGTGAGTTCTGTGAAGTGATGTGTGAGCTGATTTTGCCAAATTGATCTCATGCCTAAGAACTTAATGTAGCTGCAGATTGAGTTTGCTGTTGACTTGGCTAACTCAAGTTTGTTTTTGATTAAGATCCAAATTGGCCTTTGTAGGTTTTCGTATTTTGATTTGCTTATAAATGTAGTTTGCAGTCTATATTCTATACTCAGTAGCAAGACACTATTGTTTAAGTATATGAGCTGACTTGCTAATGCTTTTTTCCACCTTATAGCTTTGCACATTCTGCTCACTTCATTTTTTATGATGTTTAGACTATAATGTTGTTTTCCTTTTCCTGAGATCCATACTCCTAAGTGTCTTACTATGTCTTTATCCTTTTTTGCGAGGACTTGATCCTGGTTCTTTCCTACTTTAATCGCTAGTATCTCTTCTCTTTTCCCTTTTTTCTTGGCGTTCACAACTATTAGCTCTGACTTTTTACTATTTATTTCAATATCATTTATCTCATAGAACTCGTTTGAGATATTTACTATTTTCTGTAGCTCATCCTTGGATCTTGCTATCCAAGTTGTGTCGTCTGCATAAGCAAGCACAGCTTGTTGGTGTGTAAGTCTTTTGGTTTTGTTATAAGCTATATCTGTTGGCCAGTTTGTTGTCATCTGATATCCCATGTCTTTTGTACTGTTTACTATACATAAAAGTGGGTTATAAAAGATACGCCAGATTAAGGGTGAGATTACTTCTCCTTGGTCAAGTCCATCTTCAGCTTCAAATTCATTCGTTAGCCCAAAGCTTGTAATCACCTTGATTCTTCTTTTTTTATACAAGCTTAATATGAAATTGATCGTATTTTCTGAAAGCTTAATTCATTTAAAGCTTTCTCTAGTATTTCTAAGCCTACAGAGTTGAATGCTTTCCACATATCTTGGAATAAAATCCATAGCTTATTGTTTTTTTGCTTTGCATCCTCAAGTATATTGTTCATTATATAAATTAGGCTCATTATGCTATCGCCTGAGAGCCCTGCATAATTAGAACCTTTCAGGATATTATAGTCTACTATAATCTTGTCTAGTCTGTATGTTAGAACCTTCACTACTATTTTGCGAAAAGTTTCAATTAAAACAATTGGACGAGTATTAGACAAGTTATAATTCCAGTCCTCTTCTTTAGGAATTAGGTAGAGTTGGCTGAGCTTCCATTTGGATAGGATTTCTCCTTCTCTTATACACAGGTTAGCAAGGTGTCTGAATATTTTTTGTGCTATTGTACCTGCTTTTTTTATCAGTGGATAGCTTATACCAGATGGGCCTGGTGCAGACTTAGGCTTTGTCTTTTTAAGTGCCTTTAGCTATTCCTCTACAGAGATCTCATCTTCTAGACTATCATATATTTTGCTATCTATCTTTTCCAATAGATTATATACTTTTTTCTATCTGGTTGGCATGTTTAAGGTGCAGGTGTTTCTTTTGCAGAATTGCTTTTTGAAATGATTTTTTACTTCTTCTAGTACTTCTTCTTTCTGGTTTATTAGTACTATTTCTGTGTTGTTCTCTTTAACGATTCTGTCTATAACTACTCGTTTAGAAGATCTTTTAAGTAGGCTACTTATCATGTGTTTAAGTTCTCCTTGTATTGCTTCGCAGCGCTATTTAACTGCTATATTAATTTCTTCAAGATCCTCTTTCCTTCTTGCTTGCTGAGCTTTTAAATATATGATTTTTCACTATACCTTTAGCTATTCGTGTCTTTTTTAGTCTACTTAGTTTCAGAAAGCTCTTCTATTTCTGTTTCATACAGAATATTTATTCTTGCTATTTTTGCATTCATTAAATGCTTATCTGTACTATTGATATTCTGCTCTATTTTCAAGGAGCATTGTTAGCATATGCTTCCTATTATCTTTAGGTCTTTTTTAATATTTCTCTCTTTTTCTCTTTCTCAGGAACAGGTTTTCCTACTGTGGACTTCTTTCCTAGGAGGGTTGATCTTGCACACTTGATTATGCTTATTGTGATTATGTCCCATAAGCTATCCTTGTTTAATGTCTCTAAATAAGCTAGGTCATGTTCGTCTTTTATAATGTTCAGCTTCTTCTTGAATAAGCTGTCTAGTTTCATTTTATAATCCTCCCAGTTTTCTTCTGTTGC